TAAATTGGTGTTTTTATCGACTCTAGATAAAGCAGTTTCTTGTTTTAAATGAGTAAAACACAGTATTGCACTAACTGAAAATACTTCATTGTATTGCTTTGACATTGATAAGATGACATGTATTGGTGATGCCCTTAAAGCGGGAGATTTTTTCCCTTTTATATTTAGATGGTGATGATGAAGGCATGTTTTTGGAGGACTCCCTGCAACACCTATACAGGTATACTGGTGAAAAGCACATATTTGTTCATCCTTTTCAATACTTCTTTTAAGCCTATTTACAATAATTCCACTCTTTTCCTAAACATTATTATCGTTGGATCTCATGATCTAAAAAGAATTTTTCAAACAATTATTAGGTGTGTCATTTAAAGCATTGTTTATAATCTATTTACAAAAAATGTTCACAAGAACATTTTTTTGATAGTAGTTATAAAGTATGTAATTATAATACAGTCTGCATATATTTAAAACACATTGTTACCTTTAAATTGATGAGGTGTTTCTTGACATTAACATCTTCCAGCTGAATATATTGTTCATAATTTTATGTTTTTTGAATGATTCACAATTTCCTTTTGAAAAGCAACAAAGTTTAAATAAAAAATTTTGTTTTGTTCCATACTTAATTAAAAACAAGTTCTATTTATGCAGCCCCAATTTCTCAACAACAATGATAAAATGTCTACTCTATTTATGCAAATTTTAAAGATCATTAAAATAAAGTTAAGGCATTTTGGTTGTAAAATAAATTGTTTTATCACAATCACCCACTAACTAGTTTTTCCATAATCGTGATATTGGAGATTTTTTGTTCCGTTCAATTACCACAACTTAACATGATTATATTTTTACAAAACTTAACGCCTCTGCCATAATGGGTTATTTTGTAAGTATACTATAACTCTTTTTTTTTCAATTTCAAGCCTTAATATATGAATAGGCCTTGGCATCACATAAGTTTCTTTGCATTTTTAGACTCAATACTTCGATACTTACAAATCCTGCAAGAAAAATTGTATGCAACACTTCTTCATTAAAAATAACTCCCATCAAAAATTAACAAAGCTGAATGTTTTTGTACTTCTGAACTATGATAATTAGCCAGCCGCACCGTGTCACACAACATTTTTATATTTTTTGGAGAGCTTTTGGGTTACGACTAATATTAGTTACAAAAGTTATGTGCAACTTTTTGCCTTGCCAAAAAAATGGATTCAAGGGTGGCAAAAGCTAAATTTCTAAAAAAAATTTCAAAAAATCTCAAAATTTTTAAACTCAGATTCCAAGTGATCCATTTTTGTAAACTTTTTTTTTTCCCCAACAGGTTTTCTCTATATCCTGATCAATATATAAAAAATTCAAGCAATTTGGAAGGGGTCACTTCCACTGACTGCATGATTCTTACAAAATATGACTCTTAATAAGAGTCGTATTTTGTAAGGTTCAACAAATGAAAAATAATTTAAAGTGGTACAACACCAAATATTTACTAAAAATTGAGGGGGGAAAAAAGTGAATTTTTGATATTTCACTCATTTGACAGGCAATTTATTGTAGATTAATAATATAAAAAGCTTATATCCAACTTATTTTTTAATTTTTTGATAAATTAACTAACTAAAAAAAGTTTATATAGGAATGACAAGAAAATTTAATTTTCTAATGCGTTTTTTTCCATTTTCAAATTTTGCAAAAGATGGTCTGATTGTAAACATGATATCTTGATATGAAGCAATTGTGCAAATCACTTCAAATTTTTAGGAAATGCTAATTATACTATATTCTAGGGAATGACATTTCAAAATTTTTAAATTTTGATTTTTGTTTTCTTATTTGACAGCTTTGTTATCTGAAAAGGTAGCGCAGTAACTTTTACTCTGAGTACATTTTTAATAAGCTTTTTTTAACTTTTACTTGAGTAAACATTTCGACTGGTAACATTTACTTGTACTTGAGTAAAATTTCACTTAAAAACAGTACTTTTACTTGAGTACAATTTTTTTTTTACTTTTTCCATCTCTGATTTCAAGTTATCGTACAATTTTTTTTTACTTTTTCCACCTCTGATTTCAAGTTATTGTGTTTTAAATTGACCCAATAAAATAAATGTTTTTCAATAAATTTGAGGCAAAGTAATCAAGGCAAAGTAAAATGAAGTATAAAATAGCATTCTAAATTAATGAAATTTTTATTGATATTAAATTTATCTTTTTTTATTTTTTATTTTAAAGTTTGAACATTTTGGAATATTTGGTGGTGTACCACCTTAAAAGTGATTCAATTTTTGTAAAAGATTGATTGAAACAATTTAATGGTGGTCTATAATAAATGTATTGCACTATCATAAATGTATTTATATGTATTTATTATAAATGTATTTATATCTCAATTTCAAGTTGAGTCTCGCTTTACCATATGATTTTCTGTCTTGTGCAGCTTCTATTTCTTATTGTAATGATTTTTTTTTTAATTTAAAATTTACTCTTTGGTTGTATAATTGGTTACTATTTGGTTGTATAAAATGAGCAACCAAACAATGGATTCCATTTCTAATCTAAAAAATTCCTATTTTTAGGGGAAAGTGGGGCAACATGGGGAATGAGGCAAGATGGGTTTTAATATATCAACTCAACAAAAAATATTAAAGTTTAGTGAAAACGAAACTTCATTTGCATCTTGTATTTAAAACACCAATTGGTTTTTTTAAATATTATTTATGCAATTTTATACGCAAAAGTTTACTTTTTGCGCTTAAAAAAAATTCCTAATTTTCGGTTTCTAATAATGGATGGGTGTCCTTCAAGTTTAACTTCTTTGGAAGTAGTTTTTTGCGACTTGTGTTTATTTTGTGTTACTTTAGTTAGAGTTATTGGTAGTTTTTAAAATTTTATAAAATTGGAGGCAAAAATTGCATAAGTCATCTTGCCCCGGTTACGTGACCAGATGGCAAATTTATGAACTTTTTATTTTAATATTTATTTCAAATTGTTATATTTGCAAACTGAAAATTCATGCAGGCAATGAATCATTTTAATAACATAAACATACCGAAAAAGTATTATTGCTTCACGACTGATAATTTTGCAATGATTCAGGGCTTTCATAAAGTTTGCCATGTTGCCCCGCGTTCCCCTACATTAAAAAAACATGTCTTAGTAAGCAGCAGGACATGTTGCAGGTTATACTGCATTATATGTTACAGTAGCAGAGGGATCCTGTCTTTTTATTTTATAACTTCTGACACATGAAAATGAAAAAATTAAAAATGTTTGTTTTATTTATGCCATACATATATAAATGAAAGGTTGACACCATAATTGTTACATATGTCATTTATACAGTGTCTCAAAATTATCAGACCAAACAATATTTTTAATATTTTTCCTAAAAAAATGTTTTTGTAACTTTAGACCTTTTGGTAAACTCAAGATAAACAATAAAAAAATATGTTTTTAAATTGATTTTATTTATTTTAGTGTACAATATCAAAAAATTTTCAGTCTTAAAATAATGGAACTTAAGTTGTTTTATTGTCAAAAAAATATTCGACCAAGCACATTTTTTGCTTCATAATAAATTTTTTTATAATAGAACAATTATTTAGATACTTTGTAAACCTACATTTTGCTTGGATTACAGCTTTTAAAGATTTTGTTACTTTGAGTTGCCACTTTGAGGCTCTCTTTTTTGGAAAATGACTCATCTCCAATTTTTCGGTTTAAAATTCCCACAAATGTTTGATGGCATTTAGGTGGACTGTGATTGCGCAGGAATCACAAGTCCACCTAAATGCGCAGGAATCACAAGTCCACCTGAATCAATCAAATGTTGAGATATTCCAAGGTCTCAACATTTTTTTCAGCAAATTATTCCTTAGTTTTAGTGGCAGTATGCTTGGGATCATTATCTTGCTGAAATGTAAGATCAGATCCTAGCCAAAGATCAGATCCTAGCCAAAGTTTAATAGCTTCAAATTTTGCTTTAATATATTTTTGCATTGCATTTGATCTATTGCATATCAATAAATTAGAGTTTTCAGACACCCTTTGCCATTGAAGTAAATATTCCAAAATAAAAACTTATTTCTTGTCAAAAATGTAACTTTATAATAATTTACCTTGTATTATATACAGCGGGTGATTAATAAATAAAAAAAAATTTAAACCCCATACTAACATGTTACATTCACCATGCTTGACAGTTCCACTCATGCAGCTTAATTTGTAGGCTTCTCCAGCTTTTCTTCATACTTCTTGGGTTCTATCAGATGTTTTTAAATTGAATTTCGATTCGTTGCTCCACAGGATCTGTTTCCAGAAAATTAACAGCATGGTATTGAACTTTTTACTAAACTTCAATCTTCTTTTCATGTGTTCCTTACTCAAATATGGTTTTTACTTAAATATGGTTATGCACAATCTTTTCTTGAAATCCCTACTAATTCTAACAGAATTCAAATGACAGGCAAAATAGTTACCGTTATTTATTGTTTTCAGTATAATTTAGAGGGTAAGCATTTATTTTTTTCAAAAAATAGTTTGGTCAGATAATTTTTTGGGACACTGTACATGTATAAATCATATATTTAACATAATTATTTTGATGTCTTTGTTGACTGTTTTATTTTGTTTGCAAAAATTTAAAAAAACAAACAATTTTTTTTCTTTTTTTTTAAAAAAAATTTTTAAATTTTTTAAAGTTAACATTTCAACCAATTATAATATTAAAAAATTTTTAAAGTTTTTGACGACTGGTCATAATTACCCAGTAAGCACCAGATATTTTTAACATACCTAAAATATATTGATACGTATTTTTGATATTTTAAACTTGATTTGTTAAAATGTGCTTACTCTGTAGCAGTTTGTTAATCAAATATTTGTTGCTAAAGCATAGATTTTAAAAAACAAAAATTAGACAATTACTGTTTGTCTTTTAAATTTATTTTAATAAAATGTTAGTTGAATATGTTTTTCAAAATATTTATTTTTTTTAAGGTATATAGAAGAGTTTTAATAAAAAGCAGTAAGGAGAAAAGCGAAACAATTAACAAGGTATCATCAGATGAACCAGCTCAAACAAAGCATGAAGAAATTTCTTTGAAACATGAAGAAAACACAGAAGAAATTGACGTTTATGATGATCTAATACAGTTTTATAACATAGTAAGTGTTAATATTGCTCTTCTAACTTCCATATTACATTAAAAAAAAAAAAAAAAAAATACTATAAATTATTGCTACTAGCAATAATTAATACTTGTACAATTTTAATTTCTTTCAACAATTTTACTTAAAGAGTATTTTATTACAAATTTGAAATTTATAAGTTTATTAACAGTATCAGGAAATACCTGATAACAGTAATTTATTAAATTACATTTAAAATCTTATTTCTTAATTTTAAATAAGCAAGTACATAAGCAAAAAGTGTTATATCCATTTTGTGCTAGATTCTGATGCGTTTGCTGATTTTAATTTTGCCTAGTAATTTTATTTGCCTAGTAATTTGTTGTTGTTCTTTTTTCATGTTGGCATTTTCACTATCTCTGTGTTATTTTAATACATTTTTCTGAATTTTGGCATTAGCAAAAACAGTACGAAATTAATATTTTGTAGACTTGGTGCAGTCAGATGAATAAACTAAAAATAATAACAACTAAATTATTTTAAAAAACACACCAAAATACATTTTATAAAAAATAAAATAAAACTAATAAAAATATAGTTTAAATTTTTTTTTGTTGTTGTTGAAAAGTTATTTAGGCCACCACTTGGACGTTATGCATTCAGAAATTATATAGAAGTATCATGCTTTCAGAGTAGAGAAAGAATTGATATCTTGAAAATCAAGACTAATCAGGATTTCTGATTTAATGTTCAAAATAGTTAAATTTTCCGATCTGTCAATCAAACCATTTTGCTAATACGATACATTTTGTTTAGCATCTTTTGCAGAGTAAACTGTTTTGTTAATATAAAAACAACATAAAAACAAACATCACCAATTGATTAACCGAATAGGTTTTTATTCTTTGACTCAAATCAGTGACACCATCAATAATGACAAAAAACCTTTCAATTTTAAAATTATCCTTGTCTGCTAAAACAATAGCTAATTTACTATTTTTTTGTTGTTGTTACTTTTTTTTTTTTTTTTTTTAAAATAACAACATGTAGTCTCATCACTAAAATAATTAATCATTGTATTGCTGCTCAATATTTTTTCTCTGAAGAATTAGATTCCAACAGTGGATTATTTGTTCTAGTATGGCTAAAAGATGTTTAGCAATTTCACATTTATTTAAATTTAATTTAAATAATAATAGAAAATTTAAATTTTATATATATGTGTGTGTGTGTGTTTATATATATATATATATATATATATATATATATATATATATATATATATATATATATATATATATATATATATATATATATACATATATATATATATATATATATATATATATATATATATATATATATATATATATATATATATATATATATATATAATACTGCTCTTGATATATTAATGGCTTTTGATATAGTCAAGCAGGCACGTGGTATTCTCTATAAGCTCTTCTCACATTTAGGAATACATCTGGGAATGTTTTTGAATTAATTAAAAAATTTAATTTTTAATCTCAGCATTATTTATCTTTTATTTTTATTTTCTACCTGATGTATTTAGGAACCTAGTTCAATATATATATATATATATATATATATATATATATATATATATATATATATATATATATATATATATATATATATATATATCAGGTATATTAGTACCTGATATATATATATATATATATATCAGGTACTAAATTTTTGTTAAACGTTGTTAAGATGTCGTGTACTCAACGTATCTAATTTTGCGCAGGTTTAAGATGCAGAAAATATAATTTAACTACACCTTTTTAGGCCCGGTGAATTAAAAAAAAGCAATTACTTTTACTCAGCTTTACACGAATAAAAACTTCAGCAAATTTGCTCTAATTTTTATTCACGTAAAGCTGAGCAATTACTCCAAAAACACTGAGTAAAAGCAATGCTTTTTTTTATTCGCCCGGCCTTTTGGGTTTAAGTAGGCCAATTTTCACTTTAACTTAGCATTTTTTCATTTTAACATGGCACGCAAAACTTACGCCTCGCAAAACAAATTCTTGCCAAATTAAAGTGAAAATTAGCGGGCTTAAAAGCAAAAAGGTGTAGTTATGCTTTAATGTTAAAACCACAATTAGCTTAAGTGATGTGCAAAATAAATTTTTGTCTTGTTTCGCATTTTTTATTTCATAGCAAGTTATATAACGTATGCTTTTTAGCGTATATTGAATAGTTTTTTTATATAACAGTTTTACGTAAAAATGTATATTTTAATGTATATTTTACATATATTTAGATATATATAAAGAAGATTAAAGACTTTGCGTTAAAATTCGCTACAAATAAGTCTTTAGTAAGTCTTTTTATTTAAATTTTTCATGAATAATTTCTGATGAAAATAATTTTTTTAAATTATACTCATTTTTAGCTTGAGTCGCCATCTTTGTCGCCATTGCCTATAAGTCGTAGACAAGTATATTCTCCTCGTAAAGTTTCTAAACAACACGAGGTTTACATATCACCAAGGAAACCAAGTAAGTTTTTTTCTAAATATATGATGCGAATAAATCTTTAGACAATTTCTTAAAAATTTTTTTGGAAGAATTTGCGTTTATTATAGGCTAACTTATTTTTTAGCACCTCAAATGACTCCAAGTAAAATTTTATACTGCTTTGATTCGGATTCCCCTCAAGTAAGTATTTGGCTATATTATTCTTAACTATCAAACATGAGATATTTACTTGAAATATATATATATATATGTTCGTGAATCTTATTTTATCAACAGAAACTAGATGAAATAAACGCGATGATCAAGGGTGGAACTAGGCGAAAGGTTGCGCTTGACGAAGATGAAAGTATACCTGCTAAACGACTTAATAATGGTTTGGCTAAGCGAGCCCAAGAGCTACGACAGGAACAAAGTAAAATCACAGGTTAGCAAATCGATCTTAGAAACCTGGAACTAAACTACTCTAAGTAGATTTCTACGCAAGCGAGGCCAACAAAGCTGAGCAAACACAACGAATGGAATACGAATAAATTTTTATAAAAAATTTATAAGCCAATTACTTTGGCTTGAAAAATTTGTGAATATTTATAATATATATTGGCGCCAAAATAAATTGTACAAAGCTTTTAAAATGCATTGCTGAGACATTATTTATTGCCTTAGTGCTTGTGTCTGAGTTTGTTTATACAAACATTATTTTAGAATATTTTTTTAGGTAATAAATAATGCTAGAAAAGTTTTAATATTTTAATAAATATTAATTCTTACTTTTTTTCAATTTAAAATATTTGAAGAAATTGTTAATTTTTTAAGTAATACAATTTAATTTTTTAAATTCATATTGCATTTTTAAAATAGAAGTGCATTGTTTAAATCAGCAAAGAATTATTTAATATTACACGAAATAAAAAAGCGCAATGTGCGTTAAACATTTTCATGTGTGTATGACTGGATTTTTTTTTTTTTTTTATCAAAAAAGTTATAAAATATTAGTTTTTGATGCAGGAACAATCTTTTAATTTTAGAATTTTCTTGTCTTCGTTTTTGTAGAACACTTTTTATATTTTGATTTGGCGAATTTTTTTTTTTTTTTTAAAGTTACATGTTTTTTTCCAAAATGCATTTTAAACGAATACTTATTTTTTGGTTTGTATGCTTAAGTAATTCGCTGCCTGAATAAAAAAATTATGCTATATTTTCTTCTACAGAATAAATAAATATGATATGTTGTGCTATATTTAAATCTTTCTTAATTAGATCTTTTTTTTTTTACGTCATTACGCGCTTTATAAACATTCGTTTGATTCCTTTTTTATCTTAGCTGTTTTTTTTTGTTTTGTTTTTTCAAAAAATTTTAGTAGGAAAATCTGGCAGCGAATTTGATCACTTTTATATATTTTTGATTTCAATCTGTGTGGAAATTATTTGGCATTAGTTTTATATTATTTTAATTTTTTTCTTTAAAATTAAAAGAATATAAGCAAATTTTTTACTGTTTCATTTATCAACATTTATGCCATTTCATTTGCCTTCTTCAATGTATCAATGCAATTATGACATTTACCTATTACGTGTATATGTATCAGTTATTAGAAAATTTTAAAATATTTCTGTATCTGTGTTAGTTTTGTTTTTATGTCTTTCAACAAAGCAATAGTGTGACCAACTGACGAACAGTGTTCTCATTAAGTGAAGAGTATTTCGTTAAACTTCAGTATCAAAGTTTAACAAATATTACCATTTGTTAAATAGTATTATATTAGTATTCATTAACGAATTGATTAACGAATAGTATTCATTAACGAATATTAAAATAACGAGCACTGCTAGTCGTTAAACGATTATTAGTACTATTCGTTTAACGAATAATTTTATTTGTTTTATTCGTAACTTCGGTACCAAAGTTAAACTATTAGTTGCCTAATATTTTCATTAAACGAATTCGTTATTCAAATAGTCCATAAAACGAGTAGTAATATTCGTTTAATGAATAGTAATTAGAAAAATGTTAAATAAAAAATTAATGTGACCTAGATAATTTAAATTGTCCAAGAAAACTTATTCAAAACATGCTCATTGACTGCTTTTAAAAATAGAGGAAAGTTGTTTGACAAAATTTTTCATTTCTGCTTTGGATATATGTATAAAAAACAATTTAAATAAATGATAACTGTAAATAATAAAAAGCAACAGTAAAATAAAGTGAGTAACCAAATTTAAGTCAATTTAACAAAAATATAATCAAAGAAGGTTCACCAATTTTTTTTAATAGTAATATAAAAACAAATAGGAAAAGACGGGGCAAGATGGCGAAGCTTTTGAAAAGCCCAAGTTATCGCAAAACTATCGATCATGAAGCTATAATACAGGGTGACCAGCGGTTCTTGAAAACCTGGAATTTGATGGGTCCCGGAAAAGTCCTGAAAAAACGCCCTTTTTAGCAATAAATTCTGGAACTTTTCTGAAATATAAATAGTATTTAAATTTTTCTAAAATTTAGTATTGCTGAAATCTTTTGTTATTGCGTTTTATTTTTTTTCGGAAATATTATTATTATTGCGTAGATTTCCACTGAATTTATTAAATATGTATTTTCTAAAATGCAAACAAATTTTCATTATTAATAACATTTACTAATTATTTAAAAATATAATGTGTAATTAATGTAATGCCTGAGACAAAGAATTGTCAATTTCAAACAGATTGGCTATACAACAATAAGTATTCTTCTTCGGTTAAATTTTAAAAAAGCAAGATGTAGTTGGTGCAGAACAGATATTGGTATTTCTGATATGGGAGGCCTTGGATTCTCATACAACTGGTAAGAAGCATAAACTTAATGCAAAGACACATAATGCATATTGTTTACTAGTAGTTTATTAGTTTTTTTATTTTAATAAATTTTTTTTTACATTTGTTTAAATATATGTTTTCTTTAATTTCGGAAAGCTTTTAGCAAATTGATTGGCTGTGTTCTTTACAAGATAGCTTTAACTTAATAATATGAGGCGTCTCACAGGAAAAGGTACCAAGTCTTAGTTTCTAGTTACGGAGATATTTGACATAATAGCTAGTCAGGTCAAAAAATTCAAAAATGAGATTATTGTTTGTTTGTTTTTTTATAGTTTTATCATTTTACAATAGTCTTTATCAGACCTGTTTTAGAAATGTTCTCTCCTCTAAAAGTAAAGAACTCCCTGTTGATTATTTTTTTATGCTATAATAAAGCAAATATAATATAATAATAATAAATATATAATAAATATAATATAATAAAAACATAACAAAAAGCTTTTAATAATAATAATATTAATATTATTAACGTTTTAGCGTGCCAGTATATAATATTTTTTATTTTTGATCAATAATCGTTGAAAATTATTTTTTAAGTATGATGACCAAAACTGTTATCAAAGCTTTTTGTTATGTTTTTATCGTAGTACCAACAATTATTGTTTGATTAAAAACTATACGAAATAATTTTAAGTATGCTTGTCTTTGTTGATATTCCCCCTAACAGGTGCTACTTTAGACAAAATATCAAATGCTGACGTAATAAGCCCGCTCAATTCATAAAACTTGTGGCGTTTTTTTCGTGTGTTAGTGTGGTTTTTTTATATTCAAATGAAATGCATTTAAATAAAGCACATGAATTGACGTTCATGCGCAAAAAATATTTATAACAAATAAACAACTATCTGCTGCGAATATTCTGCTAGTATTTCAAACCAACGACAAGCGCTGAATCACGGTAGGTGTGGAAAAAGTTTCATATAAAATTAAACTTTAAATTTAATTAAAAATGACTTGTTTATTATTGTGATGGTTTTTAGTTATTATGAATCGTCAATACAGTACTTCTAAAAATGCTGATATAGCAATGCTTTTGAATAGTTGTGGAACTAATGGTCAACGATGTCAACGATGCCCTGCACAATTTCTTTGACTATAGAGATTGTAAAAAGGATTCTGATGATAACTTTTCAATGTCTAACTTTTCTGACAACCAAGCATCTAGCGACGATGAGGTGGAGATGGCCGAGAAATAACATTTAACCTCAAATTCGCACGATGAACCGATGACTGAGAATGAGCCTTTAGCTTCAACTTCGCAGAATGAATCGACAACCGAAAATGTCATAGTCGTTCTTGATAACACCAGCAAGACAATAATTCCTCTCTGTTCACTCTATTCACAATTATTTGAAAATGAAGATGAAGAAAAAATAAAAAACTTTATAAAATCTGGCTGTGGGTGTCATCAAGGAGTAAATAATGAAAACTGTATGGCGCGCTTTTCACATTTAGAAATACGCGAATATAGACTACAATGTTTTGAGATTGATGGGATGATTGAACACAAAAACAAACTGAATGACAATATTGTTGCACAGTTAAGTGCTCTGCTTCACACGAATGAAAGGCTAATGTGTTGTGATCGTTATGAAGATCAAAATGAACTTCGATCAAAACAATGATGGATTATCGGTTTCACGGATACAAGATATGTTTGAAATTATTCCTGTTTTTGCACGGGATTGGTCGTAAGCATCTCCTTCTACTACGTAGGCGAGTCATTGAGTTTGGAATTGCTCCTCGTAGACATGGCAATACTGGAAGACAACCTAAAAAAATCTGTACATATAGCAGTCGTCCAATTTATAACGAATTATGCGGAAAACAATGCACTAGTTCTACCCGGAAAAACGCGAGGAATAAGAGATCATCGGATGATGCTTCTTCCGTCATGGGAGACAAAGAAAAGCATACATCAAAAATATAAATCAGCATGTGAATTCTCTGGAATGCGTTCTCTGCAAATTATAGCTTTCTCTAAGATCTGAAAAATGGTCTTGCCCTTTATTGTTATCTAACGTCCGCGCTCGGACTTATGCAGTCTCTGTCAAAATAACACGATAAAAATGTCTGAAATAGTTAATCTAGAAGTAGAAATAAAATGAGAGCGTATAACTGAGATGTTGGAACATCTAAAGTTAGTTGAGAAAGAGCGTTCCATTTATCACGATAGTATCAAACTGGCAAAACAAAATGAAATTTAACACATTTCTTTTGACTATGCACAGCAAATCTTTCTACCTAATTTGTCAGATCAACCTGGACCTATCAATTTTTTAACTCCGTTTAACGTTAGGATTTTTGGTATTGCAAATGAATCGGTCTGTGTTCAGCACAATTATGTGATACCTGAAAACATGTTGACTGGAAAGGGTGCAAACTGTATTTTGAGTATGATTCATCACTACCTTGCTGAACATAAATATTCTATCAAAGGTATACTGTATTGCCATGCTGACAACAGCGTAGGGCAAAATAAAAACAATATTGTAATGCAGTATTTGTCTTGGAGAGTAGCTGTTGGGTTAAACCAAAAAATAACTATCATGTTCCTGCCTGTCGGTCACACGAAATTCTCTCCAGATGCAGGATTTGGGATTTTGAAAACCAAGTTTCAGCGAAGTGAAGTAGCTTCGGTCAAAGAGTTTGCCGCATGCATAGAAGCTAGTACTCCAATTTCAAAATTGAATAAATCAGTCATTGTCGGTGACAAGAGTGGTACAATTTTTGTGCCAACATATGATTGGCAAGAACATCTCTCATCCAATTTCAAAACGATTCCTAATCTCAAGCAATGGCGCTATTTCACATTTCAATTTGATAAACCTGGAGTGATTACTTGCAAGTTTAATTCGGACAGTGCAGAGGTAGAATTCCAAATATGGCAACACCAACTATCTCAAAAATTACCATGCCACAAATATTACAGCCTAAACTTCTCTAACCAGAAAGACAATGGTATCTGTACGATAGCATTCAAATATTTGTCCCAGAACGCGGTAAAGATTTAATTTGTCCAAAGCCGCAAGTTGACAGGATAAGGTTTGCCCAGGTTTTTTATTTTTTAACCTACCGTCATTATTAGAACTAAAATATGGATATATTTGACATAATAGTTTTGAACGACGAAATTTCATTAACTTAAATTATTTTTTATTTCTAGGTGAAAGCAGCAAATGTTCGCAAAATAGTTCAAAAAACGCTTGACAATCCAGATTTTTCGAAGGGTTAAAAGAAAGCCGTCCACATGTTCTTACTGCAAACAAGTTGAACATATAAACAAAATGCTAAAAACAGTTCCAATTTGCCGTAAACGAAAAGCAGATAAAGAAAATTGTATTTAGTTAAGACTTGGTACCTTTTTGATTTTTTTAGGTATGTTTCTATTTTTTTATTTTTAAAGAGTTATTGTAATATATTTGATGTAAAACTTTGTACCAGTAATCTAAATTGTATTATGTATTTAAAAACAGAAAATAATCACTAACTTCTTCATCAAACTGAATTTATAACATTTTTAAATTACGCGAACAACCAACTTTAATTTTCTCAATAACACTATTCCGGTCGTTGTCCCGCACAAACAGCCATAACTTGGTCAAAAATAAAGATATCAAGTTAATTTTTTTTCTTTTTGATCATTTTTCTTTTTTTTATGCAATGGTGCTAATAGCTCCCTTTCTAAGACTTGGTCCCTTTTCCTGTGAGTTGCCTCATATGGACCTAGAATGTAATGTTGCATTTTTCTTTAAGATCGTGTGTAAATTTAAATGTAATATTCAAATTCATATTCTCTAATAGTACAGCAGCATCAAAGTTTGCCTAAGGTAAAACAAAATGTGGTTACTTTATTAATTTTGGATTAGCACCATACTATCAAGGCTTTTCTCTGATGTCAGAGCATCACCAATCTTTGTTTTATCACATGATAAATATGAATGTTATCTTCAAAAATAAACAAATGGATTTCGGATTTAGATACTGGGATTTAAGTTCTGGTGTTGTAAAAATTCCTCAGACGCTCTAACTCACAGAACTTATTTAAAATACTCATTGAGGTTTTTGATCTTAGAAAACTGATTCAAGTTTCAGTGGATAGTCCTAATGCTAATTGGGAGGTTCTGAAAATGTTAGATAAACACAGACAGAAAAAAAATATTATGGTATAGTTAATATGGGGAGTTGTAGTTTGCTCATTAGTGACTTACACACAGCAATAAATTTGTACATTCCTAAAAGTAGGATAAGTAAAAAAATCTTTACCTTTTCTTTATATATTATATATATATATATATATAATATATATGTATATATATATATATATATATATATATATATATATGTATATATATATATATATATATATATATATATATATATATATATATATATATATATATATATATATATATATATATATATATATATATATATATATATATATATATATATATATATATATATATATATATATATATATATATATATAGTGACGACAAAATATATAGCTCAGATTGATTTTTAATATGCAATGATTTTTTTCCAGAGATCGGAGTTATTTTTTTAAAAGATAACGTTACTCAGTAAAAAAATAAATTAACTTTAATAATAATAACGTTATTTAGTAAAAAAATAGACTAACTAAAAAAAAAAATGGATCATATAAATAATTTAGAGGTATAGATTAAGGGTACAATTTAAATAGCGCACCCTGTTAAAGAATTATAATTTTGTCTCTATGCTATAAAAATCATAGAAGTTCTTTGTATAAATAGTTAAGAAAACTTTATTTGAGGTAAATTAGCATTCAGTGGAGTATCCTTTTGAGTCAATAACTGCTTGACAACGAAAGTTTATTGATGAAATTAATTTTTGGCATTGTTCAGGCGTAATGGTGTTCAAGCAGCATTTTTTTTGATTAAAAATTGGTCTATATTTGTTGCAATTGATCAAAATTGATCATATTTGTCAACTTCCTTCTGCAAATTTTTTTATCGGATTTTGGTTTGGTGGCTGTGTGGGCCGCTCCAAAACATCAATCTTGTTAGCGTTAAACCACATTTAAACACTTTTGACGGTGGGCTTGGGGTTGTTGTTTTGTTGGAATTTTTAAACCAAAGTAAGATTTTCCTCGGCTTAGGGTAACATGACGTTTTCTAGTATTTCTGTGTACATGCGTTTATCCATTGTCCTTTGAATTCTTTGCAACAGGCCCACGCCTAACCATGAAAAACTGCCCCAAACAATAAAACCACCACTATATTTTACAGTCTTCAGAGCATACCGAGGGCTAATTTCTTGATTTTAGGGACAACAAACATATTGTTTTCCGTCGGATCCAAAGCAATTAAACTTAGACTTATCAGTCCATAGTGCATTTTTCCAAAAATGTATCTACTTGTGTACAAACTATTTTGCGAACTTCAAACAATTGACAAGATTGCGTTACGAGCTAACCGCTTTTTTTCGGGCAACTCTTTCCAAATAGCTTATATTCGCGTAATCAACTTTTGACAGTGCTGACAGGCAGATTGACTTGTAAATTTTAACCGAACAAAAGGGTTTAGGATTTAGCTTAGCGATTCGGAAAATGGCTGTGACTTCTTTGGAGGTTGTCTATCGTTCGTGAGAGTTGCTTAATAAACCAGTATTGTTAAATAAATTAATAGCATTGAAAATTTTTTTATGAGAACAACCCAATCTTCGAGTTATTTCAGAGTAGTTCAATTCTTGATCTCAAAATGCCTGTAGTTGTCCTCGAAAGACCTCTATTCCATGTTTACCTAGTCATATAGTTTAAAGAATATGATTTTTGCAAAATAAATTAAAAGTTTATCTTTAAAATACTGAGTATAATGATTTTTTTTTTTGATAAATTAAAAGGACTTTGGTTTTTATTTAAGAAAAAGTAAATGTGTGCTATTTAAAATGACCTCAAAAATGTATATATATATATATATATATATATATATATATATATATATATATATATATATATATATATATATATATATATATATATATATATATATATATATATATATATATATATATGTATATATATATACATATATATATATATATATATATATATATATATATATATATATATATATATATATATATATATATATATATATATATATGTATATATACATATATACATATATATATATATACATATATATATATATATATATATATACAAATATATATATATATATATATATATATATATATATATATATATATATATATATATATATATATATATATATATACATATATATATATATATATATACATATATATATATACATATACATATATATATATATACATATATATACATATATATATATATATATATATATATATATATATATATATATATATATATATATATATATATATATATATATATATATATATATATATATATATATATATACAGTACAAAAATTTTTTAACTTGTGGCATGCTATTTACAATACATATGCGTATATATATATATATATATATATATATATATATATATATATATATATATATATATATATATATATATATATATATATATATACAGTACAAAAATTTTTTAACTTGTGGCATGCTATTTACAATACATATGCGTATATATATATATATATATATATATATATATATATATATATATATATATATATATATATATATATATATATATGTATGTATTATAAATGATATTGCAATATACGCATTGCAAAAAAATGATCCTAAAAAAGTTATACCTGAAGGACACCAAATATTATGAATAAACGAAACCGAGGTATTTTCTCAAGCGCAAACAGTAAACTTATGCGTATAAAATTGCGTTAATAATAATTAAAAAAAAAACAAATATTGTTTAAAAATACAAGATATAAGTATAGTTTTGTTTTCACCCATTTTTAAGTTTTTTTGTTGAGTTTTTATATGAAAAGCCATGTTGCCCCGTTTTCCCCTACTAGTAAATATCACTTTACAAAATACAAAGTTGTCCGTAGCGATCGTAATTCAACTTTTTTTTTTAAAGTAAAAGTTAATAAAAAGAAATATGGCAAATTCTAGAATAATATTTTCCTCTCACAAGACCATGTTTTACACAATATATTGTGTAAAATATAAAGTATACCTTTTATTATTGCTATGAATTTACGAGTCGACGTTTATACAAAGTTACAAACAATTCATAACATTAAAAGTTTTACAATGAATAATACAAAATAAATCTTCATTCTTTATCTTCATTATATTCATCTTTTTCATCGTTGTCTTCATGAAATAGTACATTCTCATCAACATATCCAAATCCCGACGGATCTGCTTCATCTGCAACTTCTTTTTGTTGCTTCACCTTGAAGGTTGAAGCACTAATGATCTTCATCATCAAATAAGGTACCTTGTTCTTCTTTTTAATCCATTGCTCGAAATGTTTGACTGTGGACTTTAACTGCAAAAACGTAAAAGTTTGGACCACCATTTCCAAACCTATTTCACCACAAATCTACAAAAAGCAAATCATTATCAGTCAAAATAAAAAATTTAAACAACACAAATAAACCTAAGGTAAAAAAAAAGAAAAGAAACTCGCATGTCTCCTATATAATTGTCTTATAGATCCAAATTATTTTGAACAGCATCTTGTGCTTTTTATGCTGTCTCTTACACTTCGACACAATTTAATAATGTATGCATAACTTCCTTTTTAAATGTGCCAGATAATTGCTGTGCAGGATTGGATAAGCTGTTGCATGAAGAGGTTGATTAAGCTGTCAAGTCCATTATTTATCTATGACCTTTCATATGGGCATTTATAATTTCTTTCTTGTTTTCATATTATCTCGGATTGAGTATTTTGCTTTATCTAGCTTTATATAGTTTTATAAAAGTACACTATGGAAGGTTATTCCTCTCCGTCAGCTAACCTGAGGACTTTGAGTAATGGAATGCAGATCTTAGATAATTTTACACATGAATCCCAAAATGCATTATTAAATATACTTTTTTCACTATTATAGTGATTTCACGATTATATATTATATATTAAAGCAGCCGTGGCGCAGTGGTAGCGCACTTGCCTCAGAAACGTAAGATCCGTGGTTCAAACCCCACCTTTGGGCAAGTTTTGCGACATTGGTTGGAAAGGAGGCGTGAACTTCCCATTAAATGCTCTACCGCGGTACTCTGTGATAAGACCGTAAGGACTTCTTGGGGCACCTTAACTAAGTTAAAATATATATATATATATATATATATATATATATATATATATATATATATATATATATATATATATATATATATATATATATATATATATATATATATATATATTATACTCATAAAAGTGATAATATATAAATAATCAGTGAAATAAGTCTTAATATCAGGGTACATGCTTTATTTTAGAAAACTTAACAAAGACAATCTTGTTTTTTATAACTTTTTTCTTGACTTTAAATATGACTGTTAAAGTATTACAAAATATAATAAAAAGTATTACAAAATATAATATCATAAAAGGCTCAAGATCTTTTTTTCGTCCACGTTTCCCCACTATGGGAATAACATTTTTTACAGTGTCTCAGTATTGTAGGTTTTTCATTAAAAATATCTATGCAAAGTTACGCAAATTCAAGTTTAGCTGGTTTTAAACATACAACTCGTTTGTCATTTTCATTTGTTTAAAGCACATTGTTGTTAACTCTAAATAACTAATTGCAATTACGGAAATCAATTACTTTTTGTATAAGTTCATGTAGTTTCATGTAGTTTCCGTAATTTAATAATTTTGGAAACTACAGGAAACAATACAATTTAATGCTATTCCACTTCATTAAGTAATGAGGTTTTTTATTGATAAACTTAAACTTATTTCAGTTTTATCGATTATGATTTTAATTATTTAAAATAAAAGTACTATTTAAAAAATTTGAAAAATTATAATTATACTTTTAAATTATTAACAGGATAAGCTCATTGAACTGGTAAGGCTCAGTTTGAAGCAATTCAGAAGTTGTTGGATTCTTATGATATTGGTGAGTGGATATGTGGAATATGTTTTGACACTACTGCTTCAAATACTGGACGCCTCAGAGGGCCTTGCAAGAGGTTAGCTCACTTTCATGATTAACTATTTTTTATGTTGGCATACAGACACCATGTTGGAGAAGTCCACATATCCCACTTCAATTCAAAAGTTGTTGGTAACAGAACCGTTGGGCCAGAAAACCAACTGTTTAAATATTTGAAATTAAAGTGGCACGAAGTTGGACCAAATTAGGTTAGCACCCTTTTAAGGCTTGATTACAATGACATTAGTGAAGACTGGCTAGAGAGAAAGGCCATACTTGCATTAGATGTCAGCAAAAGCTTGAAGAACAAGAATATTCTGAGAAATGATAAGGTAAATTTAAAAAGATTTTGTAAGATTTAAACAAATCAATATGCAAATTTTTTTGCAATTTTTCTTTTTTTCAGGCATTGGAGAAGAGAGAGGACTATTTTAAGTTGGCAGAGTTGGCCATAATATATCTAGATTGGGGATGTGAACCTGCTCTCTACAAGTTTCACAAGCCTGGAGCCATATCCCATGCTAGGTATATGGGAAAGCAGTCTATTACGGGAAGTTTCAGTACCTTTTTTCCTAAATCCAACAGGTTATTGAGATCAGTGGTAATCTTATCAAAAAGATGAAGAGGATGGCTAACTTTATTGCAATCTTTTACACTTCCTAGTTCCTTACTAGTGAGTTTTCTGACTCAAGGTAAAATAGACATTCGTTTTACAATTATAGTATTAGAAATAATAAAAATGTATTTTATATATGTTAGTACTGTGCAGACTTGGTTTGAGGTAAAAACAATATTCTAATTAATTTTATTTAGAATCAGTATGCCCAGATTAAACTTGCCGCTGAGTCAATACTGAAGTTGTGAAGAAACCGCACTTGGTATCTATATGCTTCCATGGTAGTAATAACTTTGCGCAGATGGAAAAGATGGATAAGGTTCTGTTTTTCACAGAACAAAAGCCTCTAGAAAAAGATAGAGTAATGTCTGACATGCCTTTAATGCATGTTTTCCTGAAGTAGAAGGAGAAACCTCCATAAGAAGGAGACTTATTCAACATTCTAGGCCTTACCTTGGAGCAGTGTATTTGGATGGAACTACCGCATCAGTTTTGGTATAAGTTTACAGAATACATCAAGTTCCAAGGATTTGTGAACTCCATTAGTGTTGTTAATGATTGCTTCTGAACAGGTTGTCAAGCTCATCCAGCATAATATGGAGAAGGCCAAGAGTGAAGATAAACTGCAGTATCTTCTCCAGAGATGTTGCAGTTTGTCAAGAATGCTTGGAAGAAACCAGTTTGCAGAACTAAAGCTTTATACAAAAAATCCGCTAATCTGTGCCTTTAACTCTAAAATCCTCTACTAATGAAGAAACTGTTTTAATATGTTATAACATAGACCTTCATAAGAGTTTTAAATTAACAATAAACTATTGAATGATATTTACTATTCCCACCAATAAGCCAAAAATGGGTAAAAAAGGCAAATTTCTAAGTAAAATATTTTAAGATCATTTAAATTTAGGTTCAGCTATAATATTAAAATGAATTTCAGGGGAAGGAACACTCTCTAATTTTAAAACTTTTGGAAGAGAAACAGGAAAAAAACTGATGTATATTAGTTTGGAAAGACTTTGATTTTTTAGCTCTATGGACAGTCACTTTGTGTCAGATACTTTTGCAGTGTTGTTCATAGTCATAAATTGTGACAGATCTTCCGTTTTGGACTTTAATTTCAATATTGTATAGCAAGCATGTTATTTAAATTCGTTTACTAAATAGATCTAGTTTAAAAATTTTCTAAAATTTTAATTTTGCATTTTAAATTTGCAACTACTTATGTAGTGAACTTTCTGGTTAAATGCACTTCCGTGGTGCTCTGCGACAAGACCGTTAGGTCTTCTTAGGGCACCTAAATAAAAAATAAAAAAATAAAAAAAAATCAACATCCAAGGCTAATTATGCGAGTTTTTCCGTTGTAGGACTTCTAACAAGAAAATATGACCCGCGCACTCGCAAATAAAAGCCTACGTTCTGTATTTGAGACCCTCCCTCCAACAAACAGAAGGCATACAATTTACAAATATCACTCCTTCTTCTAAAATATCATTACTTTAAATTTCAAAACTTTGTATACATTATTATATGAAATTTTGATTTTGGTTAAATACTAAAGAGAAATATTGTTTCAAACATAAACCCATCAATTGATATATAAATTAAAGTTTATTAAAATTATGAAAAGAATGGCGAGTTTGTTTTTACACTTGATGATTTATATATTTAGTGCGTTTGTTATTTTTATTAGAGAGGTTGAATGAACAAAATGTTTACAGAAATTTATTAAACGTTCGTTTAACGACAATGAAGTAAACTTTTATTGGTACTAACCCTTGCAATGTTTACTAATTATTATGGCTATGAATAAAAGAGAAATAAAATTGATTGTTGATTGTTTTCTTATTAAAAAAACCTTTTTGCTTTTCAAATAAAAATTATCTTTTCATATTAAAAATTTATATGGCTACGAATAAAAGAAAAAGAAAATTTATTTAATGTTTTTTGTTCAAAAAGCTTTTTGCTTTATAAAACACTCCTATATATTTTTAAAAATTTTATTGCATAAATTTTTGATATGTTTTTTTCTATGTAAGATTATTATTAATACAAATACTTAGAGGTTTTGTAACATTTATTTTGATACTATCAATAAGAAGGAATTGCGTTTTATAAGGTTATAATTTGGATTTTTTAAAGCAAAAACAGATTTTTTTTATATATTGAATGATGATTTGTTTGATTTAAACATTTTATAAATATTTTTTACTTGGCGTTCATAAGTTGGAATAATGTAGTGTTTTTATTGTCAAGAAAAGGTTTGTATTGTTTGCAAATCTATTTTAAAACATAATTATCACTCATCGTGATTCTTTTTTAATAAGTACTGATGGATAAATAACAAGTTATATATAGTTTTATATATAACTAGTTGTTTATCCTTTTTTAACTATATATATATATATATACATATACATATATATATATATATATATATATATATATATATATATATATATATATATATATATATATATATATATATATATATATATATATATATATATATATATATATATATATACAGTATTGGACAAAACATTTGCAACCAACATCGAACAATGCTAAAAAGTGTTCCTAATTTTACATGTCTTAAAAACGAAACGAACTATACTACCACAGCAATCAGTTCAGGAGTCTGGAGTCATAGCATGCTATGACATGAGAAATCAGCTGACAGGTGACAGCACACAGGCAGAATTTTGTTGACAAGTGCCATTTTGCAGCGGACAAAACAAGTACAACTTTTTTGGTTTGTTTCATTTTCTGGCCCGTGTTATTGTCACGGAAGTTTTTTAATAATTATAGGAAGTATCCAGAAGTTTCCAGAAGCATGCAGAAGCCTCTAGAAGTTTCCAGAAGAAGCATCTGGAAGCATCCAGAAGCATCCAGAAGTATCCAGAAACATTCAGAAGCATCCAGACGCATCCAGAAGCTTCCAGAAGCATCGAAAAGAAGCATCTAGAATCTTCCAGAACAGGTTCACACAGGTTCATTTTACTATACAAGAAACATGTAAACCGACATGTAATTCAGTCAGTATATGGAAGTCAATCAGTCAGTATTATCAAGACAGTTTATCAAAGTGAGTTTTATCAAAGTGTTTTATCAAAGAACATCAATACAAGAAATGAAATACAACAAGTGTTTCATTACATCAATACAGTCCATATCCAACTAAGACGTTGTGTTCCACAGAGCGTTATTGTATCATCACAAGGTAAATGTAACACGGTAAGCCTTGAGAAGCGTGATTATTTTTATTATTTTTATAACTTCAAGTGCAAAAATGGCTTCCGACAGTCTTGGATTAGAACTAAGAAAGAAAATTATTGGCGATTACGTAAGTGGAATGTCACAAAAAAGTAATTGTGATAAATATTCCGTGAAAAAATGGACCGTATCAAGACTATGTTCCAAATATCGTTCTACGGGGAAGTTGGCAACAGATAACAAAGGTGGAAGACCGCATTCCACCACTAGAGAGGATTCTATAATCGTCAGATCCGCCAAGAAGGATCCCTGGATATCATCAGTCGAGATACAAAAGAAATTAAAGCTGCATGTATCGAACCGAACAATCAGACGACGTGCTGTTGAGGCCGGATTGTTTTCTCGACGCCCTGCAAAGAAACCGCTGATTTCACTAAAGAACCAGAAGAAAAGACTCCTGTTTGCTACATTTCATATTGACTGAATTGTGCAGAAATGGTGAACTGTCCTGTTCAATGATAAATCGAAGTTCAACATCATAGGGAGCGATGGCATTTGCCGTGTACGTCAACCGGCCTGAAAACGCCTCGATTTACGTTACTGCCATAAGACCGTGAAGCAAGGTGGAGGCAATGTAATGGTCTGGGGGTGTTTTTCTGCTAACGGTCTAGGTCCAATACATCGAATCGATGGAATAATGGACCGTTTCATGTATAAGAATATCCTGAAAGATGTTATGTTACCTCATGCATAATGGAACATGCTAATAAAACGGGTTTTTCAGCCAGACAACGATCCAAAACACACTGCAAAAGTAGTCAAGCAGTGGTTTCGAGACAACCACCTATCGGTGATGGATTGGCCGCTTCAATCTCCGGATCTCAACCCTATCGAGAACCTGTGGGAGATTGTCAACCGCAGAATTAATTGTTAAGATGTTTGTAATAATGATCAAATGTTTGAACAAATCCAAAAGGTCTGGGCAGCGATTCCACAAAGTTTCATTGATCACCTGACCGAATCTATGCCTCGAAAATGCAAGGTTGTAATCAACAACAAAGAATTCGCCACGAAATATTGATAGCGAAATACAGCTTGGTCAACATTTTGTGGAGTTGCACTTGTTTTGTCCAGAAGGAAATCAACTTTTTTTAATACTTTTGATTAATTTATCAATTTTCGCGTACAAATAATGAACTTTGTGATGAATAAAACTTGAAGAACGTTGTCTCTAAACATTTACATAGTTATTTCTCTAAATTGAAAAAATGCAGCACTTTTATATAAAGAAACTAAATTAGCATTATTTGGTTGCACTTGTTTTGTCCGATACTGTATATATATATATATATATATATATATATATATATATATATATATATATATATATATATATATATATATATATATATATATATATATATATATATATATATATATATAAATATATATATATATATATATATATATATATATATATATATATATATATATATATATATATATATATATGTACATATATATATATATATATATATATATATATATATATATATATATATATATATATATATATATAATATATATATATATATATATATATATATATATATATATATATATATATATATAATTTTACTTATAATCAAAATTTTTATTTTATAATTAGTCTAGAATTTTTTTAAAGTAATTTTAGTGGTATTGCAACTTCTATGTGAAAATTTAAAAAAAATACATAATCACAAGTAGTTGAACTTACATGATAACTGTAGCTCCTGGTTAAAACGTTTACTTAATATTTTGAAAAAAAAAAATCATGATTTCCGGAGCAAAATAAAAAGAATAAAAGCATAGTAGATGTTTACAATTAAATGTGTCCTTATAGAACATTGCGAAGAAGGAAAATAAAATGATCTCTTTTGTAACATTTGTAAAGACTTTCTCGAACAATAATGTCACAAATTTTGACCAAAAGTTAATTTGACAACGATTTAAGCTCCATAAACCAAATCTTTATGAACACAAGAAATATTCAGAATTTGGTTGAGTAGTAATGATATCACTAGTCGAATCCAAATCCGATTCATTAAGTTGTAATCCATAACGCAAAGAAATCCACCGCCGGTGGATTGCATTGCGTTGTTGTCTTTGTGTACGAATATGACGAAGCAAAATTTAAAAAGGGTTTATTGCAGTGTATGTAATACACTGTTTTATTTTTTACATAAAATACTTAGATAGTGTTTAATGAATCGGATTTGGATTCGATTAGTGACATCTTTACTATTCAACCAAATTTTGATTTTTTTTGCGGCTTTCTCCATAATTGTAACGTTTCTGATACTTTTGAGTTTCTGCATAGTTCTTTGAATTCAAAATTAAATTCCTGTTCTAACCAGGAAATAGACTTTCTTTGAATTTTCTAGTTGAAGTATTGAAAATTCATCATGTTTGTTTGTACTTGGTTTTTTTTCTATTTTTTTTCTTGAGCACCTTTAATTTTAAAAATATTTTTTTTCTAAAAAAATTTTAAACATTCAGACAATTTAACACTAGTGATATAAGAAATAAAATCATAATTCTTTAATCAAATTTAAGTAGGATTTTACATTTCTATTTATTTAAACAATTTTAAATTAAAAAAAAAAAGAAATTATAAAAACCTCTTTCAACTTACCGTAGATTTTGAAGTTGTACCAATTTGAAGGATGTATTTTGTATTGTAAATACATTTTGTTGTTAAATTAGTAGCTGATCCTAAAATTGCAACAAATATTTTTTTAATAACAATATTATTAGATTTGGTTAATTTGGCTGTAAAATTTTATGTAAAATTTAAATTAAAATTAAGGAAAGTAGAAACAATTTTAAACTGCCAATAGTTGTTTTAAACATGTTCGGGTGTCATCAAAACCTAATTGGATTGAAAGGGAACAATCGAAATTTTGGCATATTTGTTAAGATTGTTACAGAAACTGAATTTTAGGCATATTCAAGTATGTTATTATTTCCTAGTCTAAAAGGTTATCCTCTGCATTTTTAGTGCAAGAAATGCAATTTTATTGAAAATTTTAAATATTACGATTGTATCAATTAAAAATAAATTTTATTACGAAATATTTTGCAGTTAATATAGTTTACTATTATGCTTAAATATTAATATAAACATTTAATATCTCCTGTATCCTTTAAAATATATACTACATAACTTATAGTTAAACTATATAATAGTTTATGTATCTTCTAAAATATATAACAAAAAATTTTTTAAGTTATCTAATCATTTATCTCATCAAGAAATTTATTAGTTAAAAAACATTCAGTTACAAAAATATTAAAATGAAGCTGCGTTTTATAAGGTTATAATTTTGATTTTTTAAATAAAAGATTTCTTTCCCCCTTTTTTTAAAGTAATTAAATTTATTTAAAAAAGTAACATTGTTGACTACAATTTTACTTGACCTCTCCTCCTACGCCTTATCAACAATTGTCAAAAAATTTTCAGACCCTTTCTCCCCCCTTTTTTTTTTTGTCTATATTCCTACTATATGTCAACAAAAAAAGGTAGTGACATATAATGGAAAAAAATTATCATTAACTCCGTCAACTAAAAAGGAGGAAGGAGAAGTTACTACAATGAATTGCTACAACAGCTAAAAAATTCTTTTCAGTTTACAGAACTTATTCTAGTAACTTTATCATTCTAGTGATATATTATTCTAGTTACATACATTCTATTTTTACAAAAACATTATTTTTGACGTCAACGTTTTTTTACAAATACGTTTTTTTACAAATATGTTTTTCGCAAAAGTGTGGGTAATAAATGTTTATTGAAGTTAGTTAGCAAACTCAAAATTGTCGGTTCATTTTGTAAACATATTTAAAAAAAGACGCTAAAAATTTTAACGCGCTTAGAACTTCAGTTATTGGCGGCGCCTCAGATCTATAGTAATAATTTAAATCCATCCATTTATACTAGTGATATAAATTTTCCGGTAAAATTTGATTCAAAATTTACCGGTAAAATTTTCCACTAAATATTAAATAGTAAATTTTAATTAAAAAAAAATTTTTTTTTTTTAAAAAAATGAAAATTTAGTGGAAAAAAATTTCAAAATTTACAGGAAAATTTTCCGAAAATTTTACCTTTGCAACACTAATTTTTTAATTTATACGTTCTTGGTCTAGGTTAGTACTCTTAGCAAAACTTATTCAGTCAATTTTTTAAACGAATTTTCAAAATTTTACTTTTTTAAATTTAGTTGTAAAATTTTATTTATAATAACATTATAACATTAGTTTTCCTTAAAAAATTTTTCAAAACTTATTCAGTTAATTTTCTAAATGAATTTTCAAAAGTATATTTATAATAATATTACTTTCGGAAAACTATTATACTAGTTTCACAAATTATACTAGTTAAACTATTTTAGTTAAAATGTAAACCAGCTTTTAAAACCTTTTTAAAGATTAATATTGTTTACATTAAATTGGTTCTTTATATTAAATCCCTTTGAATCAGGGCTCTGTATTTCCCCAAGCTAGTCTATTCAATAAGTATTTTAATTGGTTAAAATAATATCAAAATTTGAGTTGGCACGGAATTCCTATGTATTAAGACTGGTTTACTGGCATTGAACCTTTCTGTTTGGCCATAATAGATCAAAAGCCGATATAATAGAACGGCATGTAACGACGAACAACTTTTGTTTATGAATTATCTTTTAAAGAGAAAAACATTTTGATTTTTTTTTTTTTTTTTGTATAGAATTTTTTGCTCGGTGTAAAACTATTTGGTTCTTGATTTAAAAAATTATGAAATGAGGCATTATACAAGATTAAAATTAGACAAGATACTATGAGTAAATTATTTTAAACTTTAGTAACTCCAAAGTTTTGGAATTAAAAACTTTCAGCGCCTAAAAATTTAGATTTGTAGTAAAAATTCTGTTGAAGGTGAACAATTTTTTAAGAATTAAATTTGCAAGAAAAAAACCTATTAAAAGAAAAAAAAAATTTTTTTTCAAAATTTTATTTTTCCATATGTAACATCAGAAAGTCTGAAACTAGTATATTTTGGCCTAATACATTGTCTCATATACTATGCCAATATCACATGGGTTAGTACTCAACCAACAAAACTTAAAAAATATTTTCTCTACAAAAATATGCATGCAGACTTATATATATATAAAAAAATATATTACCATGCAAAACCATTAATGGAAGACATGCAAATGATGAATATATATGAAATCAACATTTACCAACACTTAATTTTTATCTTAAAATGTAACAACTGCTTGATTCCAAAAAACTTTAATGATAAATTTACAAAAAATGTAAACAAAAAGTATTCTCTTAGAATAAACCAATGGAATACTTATAAATTACCAAGAATTAATAGTAAGTATTCTGAATATGGAATATCATACCGCGGACCAAAACTATGGAACACTTTTCAAAAAACAAAAAATTTAAATACTGTAAAATCATTAAACTCCTTTAAGTTTATAATAAAAAATGAAATTTTTAAATTAGATAAAATGTTTTCTTGATTTTTTGAAATGAAAATCGAGTTCCATTATTCTTAGTTTTTTTACTTGTTTAATTGGCTTTTATTTTGGTATTAAACAGAATTGCCAGTAGGGGAAGTGGGGGCATAACCGCATATGGAGGCACAACCGTTTTTTAACATTTCTCTTTGAAAAATATTATCTAATCTAGCAAAAAAACTACCACACATTAGTAAAACAGTTTTCTTCATTTTTCTTATGATAAAAAGAGTGCCTGCTATGTTTCTGAGAAGTTGTGCATAATAATGTATATTTTGATAAAAATATTATATTTACATCATATTTTTAAAGACCTTTTTTTGAGGATAATTATCCTCAAATCAAATATTGCTTTAAAGCAATATTTGATTTTAGTGTTAAAGATATGTGTTATCAGCGTTATTTCATCAAGTAAAAACCATTTTTGATATCAACATAACCTAATAAGCAAGCTATGAAACTGAATTCTTTCTAAAAACTGTCCACTGGGGCAGAACCGCATAGACACACAGGAGGCACAACCGCATACTTTTATTATTAATCAAAGTTATGTAATTACAAATAACAACAATTACAATCGTCACATTTGAATGCGTTCATGTATAAACTTGAATAGTTTTGCTTTGAGATGATAGAAAAGTTGTTTAAGATGTTAGAAAAGTTTTGTTTTGAGAAAAAGATGTTAGAAAAGATGTTAGAAAAGTTTTTTTGTTAGAAAAGTTTTGAAAGAAAAGTTTTGTTAAAAAAGTTTTGTTTTTTGTTAGAAAAGATGTTAGAAAAGTTTTGTTTTGAAAAAAAGTTGTTAGAAAAGTTTTGTTATTTGTTAGAAAAGTTTTGTTAAAAAAACTTTGTTAGAAAAGTTTGTTTTTTATTAGAAAAGTTCTGTTTTTCGTTAGAAAAGATGTTAGAAAAGTTTTGTTTTGAAATGTTAGAAATTAGGTTTCGTATTTTTTTATTTAATTTTTATAAATGAGTTTTTGAATTAAAATAAAGCTAAGAGTATATCGAATAAGAAAACTGAGATTGTAAGTACAAAGAATGCCTACACAGTATACAAATGTGCAACAAAATCAGCAAATAATCTGAGCTATGACAATTGTAAAGTAAATGTACCTAGAACAGTGAACCCCCAACGATTTTTGTGAGGGTGCGGTTGTGCCTCACAATCGGGGAAAAACCGTTTTTTTCACTAAGTGTAATTTTTGTGTTATGACATTTTCAAAACCCGTTCAATTTTTTTTTTTGATGCATCGATTTAAAGCTTAATTATGCGGCTATTGAAATAAACTGCTAAAAAAACACATTTCGTTTTTATTTTCATATAACATTTATTCAAACGTTACGGGAGCGGTTATGCCCCCACTTCCCCTATATTTAAATGAATATTGATAAAACTATATAATATTATTTACTTTCTTGATTTAATGGAAATATTTATGCAAGCTTTAACCTTTTTATTATATTGGAGATCCTATTTTTTTAACTTGTAAAACCCACCTTGGGGCTCCATGAAAAGATTGTGGTGACTTTAGTCATCCGTATCTTCATTGAGCCCCTGCCTGTTTTTTATAAATCCACTTTTTTGTATGTAAACGTTTCTTTGTAATTATATTTCTTATTATATAAACAGCGAATATATATCAAAAAACAAAACAAAAAAGAACAAAAAAAAACAAACAAAACAGAAATAAAAAGATATCTTGTATAATTAAACGTACTTTATTCACATTTATCTAATAATCAAATTTATTATTAATTATTTATTATTTATCAATTTTTATTTATTATTAATCAACTTTGTATTTTATATCGTGCAACATGTATCTGAAGTAGAGTTGTTTTACCGAACTTTGATTTATCGATCACAGTCTTCAAAAATTAATTAAAAAACGTCATTCTCTCAAATAAAAATATTTTGAATACTATTGATAATGTTATACAATATGTAATGTTGTACATATTATGCATATAAGTTATACAATATTTAATGAAATTTTATGAAACAATGTATATATTTATATTATAAGTATTATTCCTTTTCGGTATTGCAGGGCCGACGACACAGGTTTCAAAGTGGAGGGGCACGATTGCCAATTTTAAAAACAAGTCATATATATCTAGAATTTTCTTTAAAATAAAAAAAATAAAAAAAGGCTTTTTAAAAAAAAGTGGAGAAAGGGACGACAACACTGACAAAGGAGAGCCGACAATACCGTGGGGGGCACGTACCCCCTCCCCCGGTGTTGTCGGCTCTGTATTATATATAATACATGTTACAGGTTCTGGTGATAAGATCATGAGGATCTTCTATCAGATACCTTTGTTTGTATATTAATTTTTTATCTAGACTTTGAATTTACAAGTCTACGGATTTTATATGTTATAAAGGATTTAATTATGTAATACGACCACACACACGCACGCACGCACACACACACACAAACTATTTACGCATCGAGTATAAAGATGCGTAATTAAATTACGCATCTTTCTGCTAGATGCTATCTAATATAAATGTAAGTCACCCACGTAATCTGATAATTTAAAACAACAACAACAAGAGCAAAAAAAAACTTAACCACTTTATCTCAGCAGCCGTATTCTCATCTCTCCGTTAAGCTTAACGGAACTTTTGTCTGAAATTTCATTACAATATTTCTAAGTGAAGAAATGACAAAAACTTTGTTTAAATTTTTTAATATAAAACTAATACTAAAATAAAACATTTATTTTTAAAAAATTATATTTTTAAAGAACTTTTTTTATTAATGTAGTTAAAAAGAAATTTTCTACTAATGCTCCGTTAAGCTTAACGGAGAGATGAGAATATGGCTGCAGGCAATCAAGAAAAATTTGCAAAAAATGCTAAACAGAATTACAAGGAGCCACACAAACAGCGTCTCGATGCTCCCATTGTCCAAATAAAATCTGGTAGTTTATCATTATGTAAAGCATCATTTATGTATGGAATTTAAAAGGCCATTTTATTGTTCAGGATAAAGTACCCCGCAAGCTCTATTGGAACTAGTACAGTCCATTTTGAATATCTTTACTGAAATAACACAACAGTTCAGTAAAAATGGCTACTTTAATAAGCGTTTCCTAATAAAATAACCGATTATGAGAAAACCCAAAAATAAGTATTTTCAGTAAATTGTAACATACGAAACAAACCAATTCCTTCACGAACAGTAAACGAGGCAAATCTCGTTATTATGTTTTAAATAAAAAAATATTATGAAAAAAATATTATGACGTATAAAAAATATATGACTCCGGTAGATATTCACTTTATTTACAAGTAACAAAAAACTTAATTGAGAAGATCAAAAGTACACTTGACTCTCTTAAAATAAGATAAATTTACCTACGACAAAGCAAGTCTAGGAAGAGACGACAAAGCAAGCTTAGAAACGACAAAGTATGTGTCGACATGTTAAGTGAACTTCAATCAACTCATTTGTCGGCGTACATTAGTTTGGTAAACCTAGCTAACAGTACGTTTTAACACCTTCTAACATCGGATGCGACTCTGTCCTCTTTTTCTATGCTATCTTTCTAACTAGACTACTTCTATTTTTCACTCTAACATATCTTTGTTCTTCCCAAACTCACCTTACTCTTGGTCCGTAGAGCGGGTTATGACGCTCCTTGGGGAGCCGAACCTTTGTCTTTGCAGGCCTTGGTAATGTGGCCTCTATATGGCAATTTGCCGGAGGAGGATAAACCACAATACCAGATAAATTTACTGACACAAAACATGTAATACTACACTTAAAACTTAAAATTTTGCCAGAACACTGTGTTTTTTTAAAAAAATTATAAGCAGAATGCCAAACGGTGAAAATGGTGTCGGTAAAGCAGTATTTTATAATATTTGATTGACTGACTAAAATCTATTGTATCATAGCGCTATCTATAAAAATTATAAAATTCATATTTTTTCGAGTTTTAAGAAAATTACCGTATAATTCAAAGAAAGTGACCATATTACCCTAACATGCTTTATTCTGTTTGCAAGTAAGTTATACAAGACTTTAGTTAAGAAATTAATTTTAATTACTAGAGATTTAAATGATTTGAGGAAAAGATAAATTTATTAAAAGGTTATCAAAAATGACTTTAAATAAAAAAAAATTACAATTTTGTTAAAACAATTGACAAAAAAATGCCAAATCATAATTATGAGCTATTAATTGTTTAAACATTGAAAGATTTTTTTTTTTGAAACTATCTAGGTAACATTAAAACTATTTTAAAATTGGAAAAACGTGGACTCTACTGGCTGAAAAACTTTCTGAAGTTTTGATTTATTGAAATGCTTCAATTGCCAAGTACAAGTGTTACTCATAATATTTCAACTAGCAACCACAACCTAAACAGTTTATTATCTAGAAAAGGTTGAAAGTATCAAAATTAAGAAATAAAAATCAGTTAAGAAAAATAGTAGTCAGGTGTTATTATTTATGGCTAGTCTTAAAAAAAAAGTTTGATTCACCCAAGGTTGCTCTTACCAGACTTAGTTCTCTAATTAATAATTAGAATAACCTTATTCCCAGTTAAAATGTATTAGTTTAAAAATACATATGAAAAATAATAGCACAAAAAATAGTTTGGCACCAACAAAACTTAAAAACTCCAAAATTTAGACAGATAGAAAAGAATGTTTTTGCAAGTGATTGTAAATAAGGAAATGCCAATAAGACTAATGACTTTGATAAGTGATGTGACCCTGATTCTCTAATGCTGTAAAAATGGGACAGTAAAGACAATAAAGGAGGTACTGTCGTTTTTAACAATTTTTTTTAGAATTGTTACTTTAAATTATTTATCACTTAATATAAGCACTCATTATTTATGCACAATATATAAAATTCTTTGGCTGCCCCCGATTTACTTTATTTCTCAAAATAAATAACATTTATATACGTAAGTGATTGCTAAAAACAGGTGCCACGGGCGCCCCTGAAATTATTAGTGAATTCTATTATTCAAAATACTTTTAGCTTGGTGACTGTTTGTACCAACGCGATTTAAAAGCTATCAAATGTTGTTTATGATCATTTTATTTTTTTTACCACGGTATTCATTTTGCTTTTATTGATTTTCTTTACAAAAAGAAACATTTATTAGAGCTTGAGACTGATAATAAACAAGAAATAATTGATGAAGGCAATGATGAAGATTCTGACGATGATCAAGGAATAACATAAATAGTTAGAGAAAACTAATATGAAATTTGCAGATAAATTTTGTGAAACTATAGTAAATATTAAAAAAAATTGTTAAGTTATTCAAGAGATCTCCAACCAAGAATGATATTCTTTAACAAGATTGTCGAAAGAAAAATAGAAACCTATGGTTTAGTTGGATTGTTTAGAATCTTAACTGAAGTAGGACTGCTTTTTGTTAAAGAGGTGTTTTTTTAAAATGTGAAATTATTTTCACATGTCAAAAATATTTTCATATTTTGACTAGTGAAAATATTTTTGATTTATTCTCTTAAAGTAAAAGTAAAACAGAAGTTCTGCTGGTAAAGATTTCTATAATGCTTATATTAATAAAAGAAGAAGCTTTAGTAATATCTCCAGTAACCACAGAACTTTTTTTACAACGTTTAAAAAACGTGTTAAAACGTATTTAAATGTTTTTAAACGCTTTTAAAAAGTTTTGTGTTTACTGGGTTTGGCTTGTTAGATGTTTTTTTTATTGTTTTATGCTTTATATTATTGACCAAAAGTTAATCTCGTTTGGATTTTTTTCCCGCTTTTATCTAAAAGCAGAAAAAAGCCTCAAAGTTGCGAGCTTATTTATTACTAAATTTAGAAAATTGTAAAGAGTAATAAAATAATTGACATATTAACAATTTTATGTGTTAAGCTGAAGTAAATTATTTTCTATATAAAATAATTGATACTAAAATTATTTGAAACTATCAACGTGTTATTTTATCTACGTAATTAATTTAATAAACTTATTTGTTTATTATTTGATCAGGGCTATACTTAAGAGATCTAAAAGGGAAGTTTACCTATCTGCTTTTTGCCGACAAGCGACTAAAGTTCTAATTTTTCAAATTTAGTCACTATTTTTGAATATAATTTTCGTTGGGGGGTTAAACACTCCAACGCCCCACTCCCTAGGGATGGCCCTAAATCAGTCCATAGTATAATTATCAGAATTGAAACTGAAACTATTGTTTTAAAAAACATTTTTAAACGCAGCAACTTTAAGATTAAACATAATATTTGTGTATAGTATATTATTTGAAAAAACATTGTTCTTAACTTACGTTAACATAAAATTCTCTTTAAAGATTTAGAAAAAACAGATATTTGGAGATAATATATTTAATATTTGGAGATAATATATTTAATATTTTGAGATTATATAGTTAATATTTTGTAATTATTTGAAAAAATTTGTAAAGATATTTAATCATTATTTAAAAAAAATAATGTTCTTAACTTACGTTAGAGGAAAGTCGGATAACCCCGAACGGCGGGTAACTCCGGACACTTGATGTACAACCAAAACTAAAGAAACTATACTGAAAAAATGGCATATGCAAAATAAGTTTTAAAACACATGTTTGGAGGGTGATTCCGGACAAAAATGAGCAACGTTTTTATACAAATAATAATAAATTTAATATAATTCACAAATCCATAACAGTAATTCATTTAATTCCAATAAAATGACCTAAGATTTGAAAAAGTGTTTTTAAAATGTTTGTTTTCATTAGTGAAAAGCTTATGTTTATATTTCTAAATGATGATGACATTTCGTTTCCATTCCTTATATAGCAGAGGCGATTTTTAATGGCGATTTTTTTTAAATGTGTTGAAAACATTCCAATGCTTATTAATTATATACTATATTTGTGTCACAAAGGTAAAAAATGAGATAAATTTAGTTATGTGTTCGGAGAGAAAAAGAGGTATGTGTCTGGAGTTACCCTCTAACTTTGAAACTTTTTTTTCAACATTTTTTCTTTTTACGTTTTGAATATTATTAGGATACGCAATAATTTTTTTTTTGTTTCTTATTCAATAGGTAAATGTTATACTTTTAATATAATCTTTTGTAAACTGTGTTTTCTATTGGTACATGTGTACAATCTTTTTTTGCCTTAGTGTCTGGGGCTACCCTATTCTCCCTGACATAAAATTCTCTTTAAAAATTTAGAAAAAACAGATATTTGGAGATAATATATTAGATATTTTAAGTAATTATTGACATATTATGTCAATCAACACGGTTTTAAAATTTGATCATCAAATTCTCCCTGAAAAACTTAAATATTTATGTAATCAAAAGGAACTTTAATATTACTTAAAAACTACTAAGTAAACCGAAGGCTTTTTCAGACTTACGCGATTATAAAATCTAATTTGCTAGATACAACTTGTTGAGTTTTTCAGAGAAACTCTATACTTGACATTTGAAATACTGAAAATTTCAAATGCTTCAAACATTTGTTGTAGTTTTCAGTTGCAGCAAAGATGCTAAAAGTATATATAGAAGGTTATACCCAGTGAAAAAGCGCACATAGGATACGCGTGGGTTTTTTCCATATGTAACTCATGTGGGGATTATTATTTTGTACCATGTGTTTTGTTTTTTTTTTGTAGTTTTTACATTCATGTTTCCACATTTGAGTGGTTTGGATTGCTCTCCATAGCGACATATAAATGCCGTTATGAAAGCAATTTTTTACAACCGTACGCCCTTCCTGACGTTAACATGCAGCAAATTGTACTAGTTTACAATTTACCAGTAAATTGTAAACTAGTACAATTGTAAACTAGTACAAAATGTAATTGTAAACTAGTACAAAATGTTACCAGTTGCAGAATAACTTGACCTGACGGTCGGCGTATCTGGATTATATATGGTAAATCCCACACGGGTTATAGGTTGAAAATACCACATGTTTTATAGATCTTAAATGCCATCTGGTATTAGCTACTTTATGCTATTTAGGATCAAATATATGCGATGTTCTCCACAAATAATATGGGATTTACCATAAAGTATTATAACAAAATTCTACAAAATTAAAAAACGTGTTGCAAAATGAATTTATATTTAAATAATAGCTATTAATAAATACATCAAAAATAAATATAAAAAATATTATTTGTTCTTTTGTGATTTACACGCCTTTTGTCGATTCAATTAATAAAGTAAATTGCTTTGGCTCGCTCAATGCTAAGGTTTTTACCATATTAAGAAAAGCTACTTTCTTCAAGCATTTCCTAAAAATATATATATATATATATATATATATATATATATTCATCTACAAATATAACTATAAATAAATTTTAATAAAAACAAATATCAATAACAACCTAAATCAACCTAAATTAAATGGTTATTATAGATTAAAATAATAAGAAGAACAATTGTAATTAAAAGCCTTATTAATTAAGAGCAGTTTTAATTAAGAGCTAAATTGAAGTCATTAATGACTTCAACTTGGACTTTATTTCACACATAATTAGTTCTTCATTTATTATTTACGATGAATAATGTATTATGGATAATTTGACAAGAGCTTGTATCCATTCATGAGAATCTAATTTGAGAAAAAGTGCTCAATTAGGAAAAGTCATTAAACAAAAAAATAAAACAAAACATGTAAGAACCTACTTTACAATAATGTACAGATTAAGTGCAATAGACACTTGATGCAATAGTATCTTTACTTTTTTTGTCACAAATATTATAATATTTTGAAACCAATCCACAAACATCTAAATTTCCATAAGTAAATTTATTCTTTAATCGTTGTCCTCATATCATACCTTATTTTTCATATTATAATTTATTGTGGTAGAAAGTGTGGTACCTTATCCAAAACCTTATCCAAAAATTCAAAATTGAAAATAAAACTGAATTAATCAACTGGCATATTGACCCAATATACATTCCTCCCATTTATGGTCATCACAAACGCTTTCATCTCAAAAATAATAGCAACTGCCTCGTTCGACTTTTTCAACAATCAGGTTGCAAATACTTGGAATGCTCTGACGGATAATGTTGTCAACGCCTCTACTATTGACAGTTTCAAAAAAAAACTAGACCAGCAACTCACAGTTACCACAGTGCATCATTTTCCGTGGATGTATTATTGCATCTATACGAGCTAGCTTCCTAGCTAATGATAAACTTACGGTTCATATCTGCACCGTGTAACTTTAATTGTAATTATAATTAATATAACAAATACAAGATAATACTAATACTAAATATATATATATATATATATATATATATATAATATATATATATATATATATATATATATATATATATATATATATATATATATATATATAATATAATATATATTTCGCCATAAAGAAAATATTTACAAAATTAGACTTTAAAAACTGTATATACACGGCTGGGGCAAGAAGAAGACAAATTCAATCTTATCGCCAAGCCCCTTCAAACAAGAATACAAGTTACAAACAAAACAAAAAACCAAAAAACCAAAAAAAATCCGTTATCACAATATAATATATGCGTAAGGTACATATATAAATACAAATATCTAAATATTTTTCATTAAAATTTATTATTTTTTTTTAGTTTTTTTTTTTATTAGGATTTCAAATTTTAATAGTAAATAAAAATGAGATAAAACATGATAATTTAAGAAGGTAAAGATTCAAATTAAAATCAAAAATTAATATGTTAAAAATAAATTAAATATCAAGTAAAAAACAAGTGATTACTCCTATTCAAAAGTTTCAAAAGAAGTCAAGTTCATTGTCAATTATCAAGAGTTTACTTTTTTTTTTTTTTTTAAATTGATCAAGGGAAGAAATTTTTTTAAACTCATTATCCAATAGGGTGTTCCATAATTTAGGTCCTCTGATTGCTATCGAGAACCTAGTCGCAGAATAATATTTTTTTGGTTGAATATAATTGTTGTTTGAAAATCTTGTTGGGTATAAATGATTTATTTTTTCGAAAAATGAATTAAATAAAATGGGTGCCATTTTATTATCTACTTTGAACATAAATATAAAAATATGATATAGGTTAAGTTGAAATACGTTAAATATTTTGAATTTATTAAAAAGTAATTTAGTGTGCGAAAAGCGATTCACATTTCCAATAATTCTTAGAGCGTGTTTTTGTTTAATTAGAAGCCCTTTATTTTTAGATACATTAGTGCTGCACCAAGCAACGTTAGCGTAACTTAGATAGCAATGAATAAAAGAAAAGTAAATAAGTTTCAAACAAGTTTGGTTCAACAACTGTTTTGCTTTGTATAAAAGGCCTATATTTTTCGAAATTTTATTTTGGATTATTCGTATGTGTTCCTTCCATGTTACGTTTTCATCTAAAACAACGCCTAGAAACAACAAAGAACTCTCTCTTTTGACATAAGAGTTATTAATAAAAAGCTTAGGAAGTTGTAAGGGTATGTTGTCTTTATCATGAAGACGATGGAAGAAAGTATATTTTGTTTTTTTAATATTTATGGACAATTTATTTGATATAAACCATTCGCTTAGTTTTACAAGCTCCTCGTTCACTGTTGTAAATATATATATATATATTTATATATATATATATATATATATATATATATATATATATATATATATATATATATATATATATATATATATATATATATATATATATATATATACATTATTTATTTTATTTATATAATACAGTTGCATATTACTTTATTTATATATTACATTTACATATTAATTGATCTATTTACTACATTTATTTATTACATTAGTTATATATATATATATATATATATATATATATATATATATATATATATATATATATATATATATATATATATTACTTTAATTTTTATTACTTTAAAATAATAATATTTGAAAAATATTATTATTTAAAATAATATTTTTCAAATATTATTATTTTAAAGTAATAAAAATTAAAAAACGGCTGATTTGATAATCTGCTCTGCCGCTATCAACATTACAATGATCTGCTCTGCCAATCTGATCTGCTCTGCCGATTGTACCTACCCATATTTTTATGCTAAAACAAGATCCATGTAACTTCACCGCGAAAGTAATGTAATGTTATTTTTAACATTTAAGATTATTTTAGTTTCCAGCCTTCAAATAAAATCCCATGTAAATCCCACAAGAAACCCACGTGGGATTTCCTATGTGGGTAAATACCATATGGTTCCTACATGTAACCCATGTGGGATTACCCATATGGGTTTGAAGTGGCAAATTTCCAAACGGATACCACATGGGAAAATCCGTCCTATATAAATCCCATGAATCCCACACGGAACCCACATGGAACCCATGTGGGACGCGGTTTTATTTTTCACTGGGTATGTATAGAAGGTTTGTAAATAGTTAGAAGTACTCAAAAAAATATATATATTTTTCCATTGTTAAAAAAAACTATCAAAAAATTGCTTTAAATGTAAACTACATCTTTTTTATTCTTATTATAAGCACGTTTGGCTTCTTATTAATTATTAATTAATAATAGCTGTTCGGACCCCTAAAATACGGGTCTTAAACACACATATTTACATATATATAAATATGTTTATATGGATATATATATATGGATTTATATATATATATATATATATATATATATATATATATATATATATATATATATATATATATATATATATATATATA